ATATATTTGGATTGAACAGGGGTCACAGACAGGAATACGGCGGAGACTCATAGTGCTCTGCGGCTTACCGGCAACAGAGAAGTCCGACTCCAGGTCCAGTAATTTCGCGGCACACAGGTATGTGGCGTATCAGAGGAGAAATGAGCCGTTCACATTTCTCTCTTTGTGGCAGGTAACGGTCCACAAACCTCACCGCACTTAAGGACTGTTCTTTACTTATGGAGGGACTGTTCTTTACTTATGGAGGGACTGTTCTTTACTTGTCAGGGGGGCGGGGGGCGTCGAGGGATGGTTCGCCCAGGGCGTAAAACTAGCCAGGACCGTCTCTGTGTATATATATATATATTTTAAACTCTGCCTGTGAATAGTTTTCTGTTTCACTCAGACATAGTGCGGCTGTCCTGCTGTTCACACCTGATAAAGGGTCGGGGTGCTGAAGCAGATTTTGTCTTCCAGTCAAAAAACAAAAACAAAAAATGGCCCATATTTTTCCATGAAGACAAAAAAATCTAATGGAAAAAAACTGGCTCGTTTTCGTTTTGGTGTAATTTCCATTTTCCAGTTTTCCCTCTTGAATTAAAGACCAGATTTGAATCAACACAGAGGGTGACAACTGTGTGAGAACTTTACTGTCAAAAGAACGAGGCACCAATATTCTTCTGTACACTTCAGCACTTGGACCAAACAGAGCGGTCACAGTGGAGATGTGAGGTTTTCAGCCTTCACTGACAAACAGACTGTGTCGACTCGAGAAAGAATTTAAGATTTAAAATAACCAAAGGGCAGTAAACGTGTGAGTGTTTCTCTGCGAGGCTGAAATATGTTCCAGCTCTCAGAGCTATAAATCATCTGAGATCAGCACAGAGGTCACAGGTTCATCAGCTGAGGGTTAAAAAGATGAGGTGCTCAGAGGTCAGCGCTCCTGTCTCAATACATCACCGTCATTACATAAACACACACACTTACACACACTCACACACACATGCTGTACAAACTGGATCTGTTATTTCTGATGAAGGGGAGAGGACTCGTGTTTCTGCTCAGGTTTGATGTTTGAGTGCATGTCGGCTCCTTTTCTCCCACAATGCAGCTCTGTATCTCTCCAGTCGTTTGTCAGTCTTCTTCACTGCAGTGTTTTCTCCTCTGAGGAACAAAATCAGAAACAGTTTGAGTATAAAATAAAATAAAATAAAATAAAAATGAATGAGCATGACTCTTTGCTCATGTGAGTACATCCTGGTCTGAAACAAGTCATGATGTCACCTGTGTGGTCTCTCCAGTTACATATTTTCAGTGTCAACAGTTTCACGACAAATTTCGACTTTCTCGATTTGCTAAATGAATTGACAAACATCACGTGTGTGTGATTCATGGTACAATTAAAACAGGATAAAAATGACTGTCTCTCCCAACCATGACATAAGGTCACATGGGGGACAGAGGAAGGGGAGGGACTTCACCTCTCTGTGTATGTGTGTGTGTGTGTGTGTGTGTGTGTGTGTGTGTGTGTCCTCACTCTGTTTGCGTCTGAGCAGAGCAGAAGCTCACACACTCAGCGTCCTGTGTGTGTGTGCAGAGGCAGCGGCCGAGTTCCCTCCTCAGTCGGACAGAACCAAATCCATAAGGAACCACGTGGCTGAAAAACAGAAGAGCCAGTGTTCAACATTCATACGCAGCGTCATCAGGCAGGTCTCAAATATAAACTAAAGTAAAACATAACTGAGGAGATTTAACCACTGCAGAAGAAGAGGAGATTCAAAGAGTCACAACTAAAAACTCAAATGATGGAAATATGACTTCTGTTTGTTTCCCATATTAATAATTCTTCATCGCTCCACACATCTCGGTTTCAGCATCATCATTTATTTTCTCTCAGTCTGTTTCTGTTTTGCTTTCAACAATACAACTTTTCCACCTCAGCCAAGCTCAAAAAACCTTCTGCCATATTTTAAGGATTTTGTTTTTTTTTAATTTTGGCATTCCCACTCAGGTTTTTGGAACGAACAGTAACCCTTCAGACATGGTACCTAGACCCTCAGACTGTTCAGACAGTCCTCTTAAACGTGGGCGGGTTTGTTGTCACTCACTGCTCCGTCCAGCACTCACTGTATTTCCTCCTGTATCAGTCTGCACCTGGTTTATTGTCCACAGAACGAGACTGCACGCCGACATGTTCAGAACAAAATAGAACAGGCCGCAGTGAGAGTCTCTCTCCATGGGATATTTAAAAATAGCAGCTTTGTGCATTTAGACTAAAAACTAAAGTGATGGTCAAAGTTGTCACAGTGAAATTTAAGGTGTGCTGATGGATTCACGTCATCAACTCATGCATTGAGTAACATTACAACGTTCCACCTTAAAAGTTGCCGGCGGTCGGCCCAGTGAATGAAGTTATTTTTTTCTCGTTCATTTTATAGTTGTAGTTTACTGATGTATGAACAGAGGTTACATAAAACCAGAGTGACCGTCCTCTATTGACCAATCAGACTGCAGTGTTCACAGCTCTACCTTTTAGTACCAGATCTGTGTGCTAGGTACCCCAACAGAGGGTAAGGAACGGTTCTGTTGGTACCATCCACAACTTTTTACTGTGGGAACAGAAAAAGCGTACTGAACTGAACTTAACTTAACTCAACTCAACTGCTCGGTGGAAACGGGGCTTAACGTAGCTTGAATAAGTCCAGCAGCACTGCGGAGGCGTAACTCATGGAGCTCCAGGTCAGTAGTTCAGATCACTCGGGTTTATTTCTCTCTGTGTTGACACACAGTGAAAACTGAAAGAGTAGCTCCCTGACCCTCTGACATGTTATTAAAATTAATAAAATGAAATGAAGATTAATAGAGTGTAGAAAGTAAAACAGAATGTTTGAGAGAGTGAGCAGACAGAAGGAGGAGGAGGAGGAGGAGGAGGAGCAGAGTAAGGCTGTGAGATCAGAGGGTCACAGTTTATCACTGACCACAGAGTGGAAACGAGATCCAGATGTGTTACTGTAAAACAGTGTGATCATGTGACAGAGTTTATCCCAACTTGACTCAGAGTCTGTCCCTCAGAGTTCAACTGTGCACAAACACAGACGATGCCTTTACACACAGTGAGGTCACAGATTCATCTTCGGTGTTTTGACACAGCGGCTGCTCTGAAGCCTCGGGTATCTGCTGGCAGGTCTCCTTGTGGTCGAGTTAACCCTCAGCATTAACCCAGAGAAGGATCTCCTCTAACCTGCAGTCGGCTCACAGCCCACACAGCGGTCACACCGGCACCAGATGGATCAGCAGTGGTGTGATTCACTGCAGCTTAAAGCTCTAAAACAAAAACCACTGAAAGCAAAAACACCAAACTGTTCCTCCAACAGTTGTGGGAGATACCAGTGTGAATGCAGGAGTTCACTCTCATGCTCAGTCAAATTGGGAACTGGGGAATTTGGAGGCCAGGTCAATGCCTTGAGCTCTTTGTCATGTTCCTTGGTGTAAATATTCTGTGTGCGAAGCATCCACGTTTCCCCAAAATCTGTACAGCAGGAGCTAAAAGGTTATGTAAGTCATTAACATTTCTACAGGGAGAGCAGCAGTGGCTGGTATGAAAAGGATAAAGGCTGGAGATATTAGTAGGTAGTTTACTTAATAATGCCTCAGCAGTAAGATCATCCTAAAGATTTATGTAAAATACAATGGTAAGTGTGTGAGCCTGTATTTGTTACACAACGTAACGCAGCATGAATCCAGTTGTTTAAGCAGTTACGAGACTGTGTGCATATAAATCACATTACCACAGTCTAATACAGACAGAGAGGAGTGTTGCACAACTCTTTGTCTGGCCTCTGATTGAAAGCATGTTATAAAATGAACGGCCTGCAGAAACACTGATTTTAAGGTTAACAGCTCTACAGACAAATATTTGTTGTTACATCACAACTTTTTTTGTGTCTTCAGAGCTTATCCGTCAGCTGACTCTGGTCTCAGTATGTGGGAGATCCCCCCTGATATGACTAACACTCGTACAGTGTCATATCGTACATTCTGACTTGGCTGAAACACACCAGAGTCTGGTTCTCATATCAGAGGAGAAACTAACTGACACACAATCACATAAAAACTCAAGTTAACAACAACGTCTGTAGAAAGATCTCCAACCCTGCTAATAAATGAAATAATAACCTTTTTTTTCCTGTTGTTGTTTGGCTCAGAGTTTCTTTGGAGGAATCTGAGAGCCAAATGTTAAGTAAACTGTTTCTGTTTGAGTTCCAGCTCGTCTTTAGTTTGGATCTCAGCCTTGTTGGACGGTTGACATCCAGCCGTGACTGAGAACAAAACTTCACACTGATTTCACTGTTTAGTTTCACACTCTGAGGGTGAAAATGTGCGAAAACAAATCCATCAAATGTAGCTGCAAGCGGCGACCTGTGAGTTCAAGCCCTTTCAGCCAACAGCAGGAAACAGCTTCTGTCGGCCGCAGCAAATGGGTTTACGTCTTCACAACACGGAGCAAAGTCACTTTAGCTTGTTTATTTCTGTCTAAAGGAGATAGACCAATCACAAACTTGTCCCTACCAGCATGTCAATAACAGCACACGAGATCCCGTCACTCGCCCCCTTTTATTTGAAATGAATGAAAGTTGGTCTGTATGTTCAGATGTTGGCACGTGATGTGTCCAGTGAGTTTAATCACAACTGCTCAAAGGAAACTGGAGATATGGCCTATTTCCTGCTAAGCCCCGCCCTTGGTGAGGTTTTTCATCAATGGCAGCCATGTTTGTTTTTTCTGATTGTGCTCATTTATCATAGAACGTTCTATCTTCATCAAAAGATTATGTTTACCAATTTTGGTGATGACAGCATCAAAATTCACTAAGTTCTATTCATTTAACTGCTTTTCAAAAAATTCAAAATGAAGGAAAATCTAGTTGGGTGGAGCTTGATGATTCTTAAGGCTGTTTTGTAGAGCACACTGAGCTGCATGTGTGTGCCAAATTTCAAATCAATCGAACTTACAGTGTGAGTGGTGTTGGCCTTTTAAAGTAAAAGTTTTTGGGTGTTTTATTTCAGCACCACCGGGTGGCTGATTTGGGTCGTATTTCTTGGGAAGCATTTGCACATCATTTCCAGTTTCATGTTTCTGGCTCATTCCAGCAATTCAAGATCTGGCAGAAGACACAAAATAAAAATAATAATAAATCTGAGCAATAACATCAGGGCTGTAACCCTTCAGGCTCGATGCCTAAATAAAACTGTGTGTGAAAATCAGATTTCAGAAATAACATTTACACTCCAAGAGTTTGTTCATTTAACTGGCACATTAAAGCAGCGAGAACCCCTCAGTTTAGTGTTACTTTATATTTCATTGTCGACTAATCCCATAAAAATACCAAGAACGCGTTGGTCCATCTCTCAGTACTTCTCTCTAACTACTTGACTGATTAATCCACATTTGGTGCTCTAGTGAGTATTTGTGTCAGCAGGACGGAGTGTGTGGGAGTGAGTCAGAATAAACTACAGTGTGTGTTCATGGTGATGCAGGAACATGTCACTCGGTGACACGGTGCGACTCCATGATGTGTTTTTGACAGCAGATATATCCGGCTGTGATTTGGTTTGAGTCTGACCATGAAGAGAAATCTAGAATATCTGTATTTTCTCACCACACTGGCACATGTTAACCAGTTCAACATGTCAGACTGAACGCTGTTTCAGCAGGATGTGCTGCAGCAGAAAACGTCCCTGGTGCCTTCAGGGTTTAGTGGTATAGTTAGTGACGGTGGGCACTGCCAGTGCTGTTTAAAAACGTCTTTATGATGAAGGCGGGAAGATTGCTTTCAACCACACCGCTATGTTTAGACTAAACTAACAATCTTAGTGAGAAGGTCCCACCGCTGCAGGAGCTGTTTTTGGCTCATCTCTGGAAGCTATTTCGGTGACACCTCTCTTTTTCTCCCCCGCAACTTAATTAATTTCGAATGTGACTTATCGGCATGAAAAACACACACCTTCAGTTCAGTTTGGCGTTCAGCATTACAGTGAACATTTGGTGAGTGATAAGCACACGAGGAGCTGTAAAAACACATCACATCCAATTTACAGCTGAAATAAAGTCATTTTCACTGACATTGTTATCATCAGGGGTACATGTTCTCCTTCACATGACAGATACAATATAAACCACCATATTTTTACGTATCAATCAGCAGACTATCAGTAAATTCACTGATCTGAGCGACGTGGGAGCCGACTGTGAGGGGTTAACCATCTGTGGTGGTTTCAGACTCTGCGGTCTCCTTGGTGGCTTTGCCTAAAAGGGTTAAAGCGGGCTATTTCGAAACAGCAAGGAAACATGGCAGAAATTACCCGTCGTTAGGAAAGGTGCTCTTTCTTATTAGTTCCACCACATCTAACTACTTACTCATTGCTTGTGCACACTGAACTAAAATGAAGTTAATTGCTACCAATTGTGAAGAGAGTCTGGTTCCTATTTGAGGCTGAGCAATTTATAAAATATGAACAGCTGGAGAAGAAAAATGAAGTTTCTGAGTTCATGAAATGATGCTGAGACAAATTACACTATTTTCAGTCAGTGTTCCTGTGATTATTTCTAACAAAGCAGCCACTTCATGAAATCTATTACAGTGTTGGCTAGAACATAAC